AATGTAGCCACCACATCTAAGAATTGGTAAACTGCGATGTAATAATTGTTCGCTTTTGGGTTTAGTGCTGTTTTAAGATAACACAACAATAAATACATTGTTCTTTTTTTTAACTAGGCTTTCCTTTGGCAATATTGTTTACCAAAAACGATTAAAATTGTTACACTTCTATACACATTCAAAAAAAAATATTTTATTTCTGTTTTGACCAATGTCAGTTTTTTTTTTCCTAAAAATAGTTTTACTGTAAATAAAAGTATACATGATTTAAAATCACAGTAAAATGAGGATTCTGGCACAAAGCATGGCAAGGTTTGTTTTTGGAAATAAAGGCTTTTTTTTTTTTATTTTTTTTGTATTTTTCTATTACGTAACACCTTAACACAAATAAAAAAGGAAAAACAAAACTCAGTAATTTAACCATTTCAATACCGGGCAATTTTACACCTTCCTGCCCAGGCCAGTTTTCAGGTTTCAGCGCTCTCACACTTTGAATGACAATTGCGCGGTCATGCAACATTGTACCCAAACTAAAATTTTATAATTTTCTTCACACAACTAGAGCTTTCTTTTGGTGGTATTTAATCACCGCTGGGGTTTTTATTTTTTGCTAAATTAACAAAAAAAGACCAAACATTTTGAAAAAAAAAACACGTTTTTCTTTGTTTCTGTTATACAAGTTTACAAATAAATAATTGTTCTTCATAAATTTAGGCCGAGATGTATTCTGCTACATGTCTTTGCTGAAAATAACCCAAATTAGGATGTATTTTTTTAGTTTGTAGGAAAGTTATAGAGTTCACAAACTATGGTATAGATCTGAATATTGATCAATCCTGAAGTACTGACAGCCAATCTAATTTCTTGAGGTCCAAGAATGTCAGAACAGTACAGATATCCCCCAAATGACCCCTTTTTGCAGAGTAGACAGTCCGACGTACTTCATAAGAGGCATGGAGAGTTTTTTGAAGTTGTATTTTTTTTGTCATAATTTTTCGGAAAATTAAAAAATTAAAAAAATTATTTTCACTATTTTTTTTTTTACATATGTCACCAGTGCAGTACAGAATCATCATATATAACTGGCATGGCGGTGAAAAGGGACACTGACTGGTGACAGTATGAAAAAAAATTATATATATATATATTTTTTTTTTTATTATTATTTTTAATTTTTTATTACATTTTTTTTTAAGATTTTTATTTCATATTTTACTATGACCAAAGTAGTACAATGTTCTACTTTGGGGAAGTGATCAGTATTTTTTTTTTTTTTTACACAATTTGCTTATAGCAAAGAATTACTTTGCTATAAGCAAGCATTTACCTGAATGACATCGATTCATATTTTTTTTTTTTTTTTTTTTTTGTGCTTAGCTGTGATTTGGCCACAGCTAATCACATGACATGTGCATGTGACCTGCTGTGACCATTCACAGCTAGACACTAGTATACAATGGATGGCATGAATGAAGCCATCCATTGTATACAACACTCATGTGACCTGCTGTGATTGGTCACATGGTATCGGCAACAGGGGCTGGTACTCAGATCTGTCATCGGCCGTGTCCGAGGTACACGGCCGGTGATAGATCACGCCGCTGCGCACCTCTGCAGCCGCGCGAACTGCACATGTGCGGGAGGACACCAAATGGCGTATACCCCGGAAATCTAATGCATTTTTGCGGCCGCCAAACGGCTATAGGCCGGGCGGCTAATGGTTTAAATGGGAAGAAAAAAATCAGCAGAAAAATAATAGCATAGGAGAAAGAAGCTAATTAGGGTGATTAGGGTTAACTACGGGTTAATAAGGGGTGAAACAGGAATACATTTTTTGTTAAATAACTTGTAAAGTTTCTAGAAGTGATATCATATGTTGATTTAGGCCCCATTCACACTATGTCATGTGATCTCAGGCGTCATGCACATGTGCAATGCTCATTGTCAAACTACAATCATAGGTCTTTCATCTACTATGAGTGAAATAGTAAATACAATAAAGCAATACATTGTTACATTGTATATACACAATGATACTTGCAGACAATCTATTATACAAAACAATTATCAATTAGCAACTGTTTGTTGGATTGTTTTTGTTTGATAGGAAAGTTGTTGTGTGGAAAGGTTAGAAACTCTGTTAGTTTTTTTTTCCTGTCTGTGTCCCCATGAGGTTAATTTCCCCTTTCCCTTCCTGTCCTGGTGTCAGGGGGGGTCACAGGGACAGGAAGCAATGGGAAACCTCTCCACTGGACCCATAGTATCAAAAACACATTTCAAAATATAGTAAGAATAGCTTTATTTTTATATTTGCTGTCTGTGTCTTCCTGTTCCAGTGACCCCACTGGTGTCACATGGATAAAAAGTGAAGGGAAATCCCCCTCACTGGTGTCACATGGATAAAAAGTGAAGGGAAATCCCCCTCACTGGTGTCACATGGATAAAAAAGTGAAGGGAAATCCCCCTCACTGGTGTCACATACATAAAAAGTGAAGGGAAATCCCCCTCACTGGCGTCACATGGATAAAAAGTGAAAGGGAAATCCCCCTCATTGGCGTCACATGGATAAAAAGTGAAGGGAAATCCCCCTCACTGGTGTCACATGGATAAAAAGTGAAGGGAAATCCCCCTCACTGGTGTCACATGGATAAAAAGTGAAGGGAAATCCCCCTCACTGGTGTCACATGGATAAAAAGTGAAGGGAAATCCCCCTCACTGGTGTCACATACATAAAAAGTGAAGGGAAATCCCCCTCACTGGTGTCACATGGATAAAAAGTGAAGGGAAATCCCCCTCATTGGCGTCACATGGATAAAAAGTGAAGGGAAATCCCCCTCACTGGTGTCACATGGATAAAAAGTGAAGGGAAAATCCCCCTCACTGGTGTCACATGGATAAAAAGTGAAGGGAAATCCCCCTCACTGGTGTCACATACATAAAAAGTGAAGGGAAATCCCCCCTCACTGGCGTCACATGGATAAAAAGTGAAGGGAAATCCCCCTCATTGGCGTCACATGGATAAAAAGTGAAGGTAAAATCCCCCTCATGTGTCACATGGATAAAAAGTGAGGGGAAATCCCCCTCACTGGTGTCACATGGATAAAACAGTGAGAAGGGAAATCCCCCTCACTGGTGTCACATGGATAAAAAGTGAAGGGAAATCCCCCTCACTGGTGTCACATGGATAAAAAGTGAAGGGAAATCCCCCTCAGTGGTGTCACATACATAAAAAAGTGAAGGGAAATTCCCCTCACTGGTGTCACGTGGATAAAAAGTGAAGGGAAATCCTCCTCACTGGTGTCACATGGATGAAAAGTGAAGGGAAATCCCCCTCACTGGTGTCACATAGATAAAAAGTGAAGGGAAATCCCCCTCACTGGTGTCACATGGATAAAAAGTGAGGGGAATGAGGTGGGATGAAAAGTGAAGGGAAATCCCCCTCACTGGTGTCACATGGATTAAAAGTGAAAGGGAAATCCCCCTCACTGGTGTCACATGGAATAAAAAGTGAAGGGAAACCCCCCTAAGGAGGATACAGAAGTAAAAACCAGAAGGAAATCCCTTTTACACTATATTGCCAAAACTATTGGTCGGCCGGCCTTTACACGCACATGAACTTTAATGGCAGCCTAGTGTTAGTCCGTAGGGTTCAATATTGAGTTGGCCCCGCCCTTTGCAGCTATAACAGCTTCAACTCTTCTGGGAAGGCCGTCCACAAGGTTTAGGAGGGTGTCTATGGGAAGGATTGACCATTTTTCCAGAAGCACATTTGTGAGGTCAGGTACTGATGTCGGGGGAGAGAGGCCTGGCTCACAGTCTCCACTCTAATTCATCCCAAAGGTGTTCTATCAGGTTGAGGTCAGGACTCTGTGCAGGCCAGTCAAGTTCCTCCACCCCAAACGTACTCATCCATGTCTTTATGGACCTTGCTTTGTGCACTGGTGCGCAGTCATGTTGGAACAGAAAGGGGCCATCCCCAAACTCTTCTCACAAAGTTGGGAGCATGAAATTGTCCAAAATGTCTTGGTATGCTGACGCTTAAGAGTTCCCTTCACTGGAAATAGGGGGCCAAGCCCAACCTTTCAAAAGCAACCCCACACCATAATTCCCCCCTCCACCAAACTTTACACTTGCACACAATACAGTCAGGCAAGTACCGTTCTCCTGGCAACCACCAAACCTAGACATGCCCATCAGATTGCCATACAGAGAAGCGTTATTGGTCACTCCAGAGAACACATCTCCACTGCTCTAGAGTCCAGTGGCGGCGTGCTTTACACCACGGCATCCAACGCTTTGCATTGCACTTGGTGGTGTAAGGCTTGGATGCAGCTGCTCGGCCATGGAAACCCATTCCATGAAGCTCTCTACGAACATTGTTGTTGTGCTCATCTGAAGGCCACATGAAGTTTGGAGGTCTTTAGCTATTGACTCTGCAGACAGTTGGTGACTTCTGCTCACTGTGCACTTCAACATGTGCTGACCCCGCTCTGTTATTTTACGTGGCCTACCACTTGGTGGCTGAGTTGCTGTTGTTCCCAGTTGCTTCCACTTTGTTATAATCCCACTAACAGGTGAGCGTGGAATATTTAGTAGCCAGGAAATGTCACGGATGGACTTATTGCACAGGTGGCAACCTATCACAGGACCACGCTTGGAGTCACTGAGCTCCTGAGAGCGACCCATTCTTTCACAAATGTTTGTATAAGCAGTCTGCATGCCTAGGGGCTTGATTTTATACACCTGTGACCATGGAGGTGCTTGGAACACCTGAATCCAATGATTTGGAGGGCGGGGCCAATACTTTTGGCAGTATAGTATATATTAACCTCCCCCTTCACAGCAAGTGCACAAGCTGGGAACCCAGACAAAAATATCTCACAATGTCTGAGAGACACAAGAAGCTGTCAGCCACCCAGCACTGGCAGTGAAAGGATTGACCATTTAATGCAAATAATAATGACATACACAAAAACGCATAAAATATTTATGATACTTACGTCCGCAGACACCTACTTCATACCTAGGCATGTCCCTGCTGTAGTCACAATAAAGTCCTTTGTGCGGGTCACACATGTCTGCCTCCGTGCAGTTCTCTCCCCTCGCTGCCTGGCGCAGGTCTTGCAGCAGTCACAGCCATCTGTGACCAGACTGACCCCAGGGGGACACACAGGGGTGGTTGGGGGGCACTCACATGGCCACTTACAGTACTGGACCCGAACATAATCTTCTGTAACAGCAGGGGTTGGAGGCATTGTGGTCGTGTGTTTGTAGAATGACCTGTAAATGACACAAAAAAAAAACTTTTCAGCAAAAATGAGTTGTGGGTTGTATCAGCATGAGGAAAAAAAACAGCAAAACCTGGATGGGTTGCTGGATGGATTGTACAATCACTACATCAGACCAGGCCCAACTCTGCACTGGCTGTATAGACTGATGAGTCAGTCCTGTGGGCCACTGGATGCAGACCTTAACTGTGCAATCTGCTGATTAGTTTCTTGAGCATGCTTGTCTAAAAGGATGGTGGTGATGTGTTCTTCCATATAGTGCTCAGGTAGAAAATGACTAATGGCACTGAAAGCAAACAGCTGTGAGAGCAAGGAGAACAGTAACTCTAGGTTCCCTGTGGATCCGCACGAAAATCCATGTAGCCGCACCACATGCACAGAGAAATGTGGACCCGCGGGTGGATGCCATTAGTTCTAATGGCACGCCACCGCACTGGAAAACGCAAACGTACTGGGAACTGAGGTTCCCATGCGGGCTGCGTTTTCCAAAGAAGTGCAGGGACTTCTTTCCCTGCGTGTCACGGGTATGGGAGTCCATTCAAATGAATGAGCTCTCGTGCCCCTGCAAAACACGGCCCGCACAGCTGCATATATGTGAACCGGGGGTAACAAAATAATCTAGAGTGGGTGACTGAGGACAAAGAGAAGGCAAATTTATTTAACCTCCTTAGCGGTATTCCCGAGTGTAGCTCGGGGTAAGGTTTCTGTACCAAAAGCGGTAACCCCGAGCTACACTCGGGATTACCATGCGGCGTTGCTCAGGGAGTCCCTGCAGCACTTACCTTGTCCTGCGCTCCCGCGATGTGTCCCCTGCAGCGTCCTTGGCCATCTCCTCCGGCCGATGCCGGCATCCGGCTTCCGTGTTCCGGTCCCTGTGATGTCGGGACATACGGGCGCTGGAACCGGCGGCAAATTTGAAATTTTAAAAAAATTTAATTTTTTTAAAAATGATTATTACATAGTAAAACATTGCTGTTCAATGCATTTCACATACATTTTGTCCCGAGTGCTTTGTCCTGCGCCCCTGCCTGCATTTCTACTGTTCTTTCTGCCTGGAAACTGAGAAACGTCCATGGCGTCCAAAAAGTGTCCCTTTACGTCAAAAGCGGTTTTAGACCGGCTAGAGAACAGCGATAGTAAATCAGAACCACTTGCAGAATTGAGTGATAATGATTCGTGGGGGAAATTCCTCATCAGACACTGAAAACGATTTGCGACTTTGCTCAGCGATGTGCGAATTTGCCTCTGTATTTCAAATTTCAGTGTTTTTGGTTTGATTATATTATTGAATTAAATTTATTATTATTATATTATTATTATTTTTATGATTATTTATTAAATTATAATTTATGATTTCGTGTTTCAAATTTTATCATACCCGGGATGTTTACTAGACTCTTGTTCATACAGATTTCAGTGAGTTATTCCTAAAAATTACAGGCCTACAATAAAAAACTACATATTTCCATGCAAAAAAATGGTACCACTTTCAGCACAAAAAATCGGAAGAATCATACCGCCAGGGAGGTTTATACCTTCTTCAGCTCTGTGAATACAAAGGAGCATGGGGGAGATCTTGTCCATAATGGGCATGGTATTGACACAGCTCCAGATGATCCACATTGGCTCACAACTGATATGATCCAAAAATATTTAGACAGAATAAAGGTGAATAAAGCACCTGGACCGGATGGCATACACCCACGGGGCCTTAAAGAATTGAGCTCTGTCATTCCAAAGCCATTGTTTCTAATTGTTAGGGACTCTTTAATGACTGACATAGTACCACTGGATTGGTGTAACGCCAATGTGGTGCCAATATTTAAGGGGTCAAAATCTTTACCAAGTAATTATAGACCTGTTAGTTTAACTTCTATAGTTGGGAAGATACTGGAGAGTTTAATAAAAGACCACATAGATGAGTTCTTGCTGGAAAACAATATTTTAAGCAACAGACAGCATGGATTCATGTAAGACAGAAGTTGTCAAACAAATCTGATTTCTTTTTATTAGGGGGCGAGCAAAACCTTGGACAAGAGGGGTGGCTGTGGACATTGTATACTTGGACAGAGGGGTGGCTGTGGACGTGGTATACTTGGACAGAGGGGTGGCGGTGGACGTTGTATACTTGGACAGAGGGGTGGCTGTGGACGAGGTATACTTGGACAGAGGGGTGGTGGTGGACGTTGTATACTTGGACAGAGGGGTGGCTGTGGACGTGGTACTTGGACAGAGGTATACTTGGACAGAGGGGTGGTGGTGGACATTGTATACATTGTATACTTGGACAGAGGGGTGGTGGTGGACATTGTATACTTGGACAGAGGGGTGGCTGTGGACGTGGTATACTTGGACAGAGGGGTGGCTGTGGACGTGGTATACTTGGACAGAGGGGTGGCTGTGGACGTGGTATACTTGGACAGAGGGGTGGTGGTGGACGTGGTATACTTGGACAGAGGGGTGGCGGTGGACGTGGTATACTTGGACAGAGGGGTGGCGGTGGACGTGGTGTACTTGGACAGAGGGGTGGCGGTGGACGTGGTATACTTGGACAGAGGGGTGGCTGTGGGCGTGGTATACTTGGACAGAGGGGTGGCTGTGGGCATGGTATACTTGGACAGAGGGGTGGCGGTGGACGTGGTATACTTGGACAGAGGGGTGGCGGTGGACGTGGTATACTTGGACAGAGGGGTGGCTGTGGACGTGGTATACTTGGACAGAGGGGTGGCAGTGGACGTGGTATACTTGGGGGTGAGGGATGTGGTGGAGGTGGACGTGGTATACTTGGACAGAGGGGTGGTCGTGGACGTGGTATACTTGGACAGAGGGGTGGCTGTGGATGTGGTATCCTTAGACAGAGGGGTGGCGGTGGACGTGGTATCCTTGGACAGAAGGGTGGCGGTGGACGTGGTATCCTTGGACAGAGGGGTGGCGGTGGACATGGTATACTTGGACAGAGGGGTGGCGGTGGACGTGGTATACTTGGACAGAGGGGGGTGGCGGTGGACGTGGTGTACTTGGACAGAGGGGTGGCGGTGGACGTGGTGTACTTGGACAGAGGGGTGGCGGTGGACATGGTGTACTTGGACAGAGGGGTGGCGGTGGACGTGGTATACTTGGACAAAGGGGTGGCGGTGGACGTGGTATACTTGGACAGAGGGGTGGCGGTGGACGTGGTATACTTGGACAAAGGGGTGGCGGTGGACGTGGTATACTTGGACAGAGGGGTGGTGGTGGACGTGGTATACTTGGACAGAGGGGTGGCTGTGGATGTGGTATCCTTAGACAGAGGGGTGGCGGTGGACGTGGTATCGTGGACAGAAGGGTGGCGGTGGACGTGGTATCCTTGGACAGAGGGGTGGCGGTGGACATGGTATACTTGGACAGAGGGGTGGCGGTGGACGTGGTATACTTGGACAGAGGGGTGGCGGTGGACGTGGTATACTTGGACAGAGGAGTGTGCGGTGGGCGTGGTATACTTGGACAGAGGGGTGGCGGTGGGCTTGGTATACTTGGACAGAGGGGTGGCGGTGGGCGTGGTATACTTGGACAGAGGGGTGGCGGTGGACGTGGTATACTTGGACAGAGGGGTGGCGGTGGACGTGGTATACTTGGACAGAGGGGTGGTGGTGGACGTGGTATACTTGGACAAAGGGGTGGCGGTGGACGTGGTATACTTGGATTTTGCAAAAGTGTTCCAGCACGGCGGCATAGATGTGAACCGGGGGTAAAAAGGTCCGGTCTGAGCATGCAGGCCCTTAACCCTAGGTTCACATCTGTGTGGGTGGTGCCAGACAGATGTGATGGGCGGGGCCATGTGAGTGCAAATGAAAAAAATGCAAAAAGCATTCCCCACACACGGCTAATGTGTAAGGCAGGGGCGGACTGACAACTCACGGGGCCCCGGGCAATAGGGGATCATGGGGCCCCTGTGTCCTTGCCCAAACTCAAAAAAGCCTATTAAAAAGGTACCAGGGGCATCTCATGGGGCCCCCTACTGACCCGGTCCCACGGGCGGTGCCCGAGTTTCCAAATGGTCAGTCCGCCCCTGGTGTAAGGTAAAGTCTACGAGCTTGGAAACATCTGTATGTAAATGGATAGAAAACTGTCTAAAAGATGGTATTCAGAGAGTCGTGGTTAAGGATTCATACTGTGGGGTGGTCTGAGTTCAATTACAGCCTGCCTAGGAACACCCACTCCCCCAGACTGACACCCACCCATCAGGGCATTTTGACCTTTGCATAAGCCCTCCTAAGAGCCAGCCAACTTCTTGCAGCAGGGGTGAGGCTCTTGAGAGAAGTATATGTTTCTGAAACTATGTACAGCACTTTTCTACCAGCCATGATCTGCCTGCACTGCGCAGAGAAGCACAGAGACCCAGTGATTAAATCAATGGGTCTAAAATAAGTATGTAATGATAATGGAAAGGTTTTTGTTTGCATTGGGATGTTGATGAGGAAGGAAAGGAGGAACCAGGGAGGGCAAAATATAAAGTTCAGCTGTAACTGGGATCCTCCAGGGTCACGCAGGCTCTCCTGTACTCACTCAGGGGCTCTCTCACTATATATATTACAAATCACATTATAAATCACTTCGACTCATTCGAAGCTTAAAATGTTTTCTTCCTGAGAAATACATTCCAGTTCCAATTTCGAGTTTCTGATAAATGACAGGCCGTGCCCGCAGCCGGTGGCACACATTGATGGCTTTCCACCCATCTCAGACCCAATGGTAAAATCTGCGTTAAGCCCGGAGCTTTTCACCCCGAACAGCAGTCATGGAAATATGAGGAAACGCATCGCGCGCTTAATACGCGGCGTCCGTATGGGATTATGTCAATCACCGAGCCGCAGCCCGCAATTCGCCCCCCCCCTCGAGAGGCTTGGCAAAGATTGTTCTTCTTTTCTAATGGCTTCTAAAAGTATCAGAAGATGAAAGGAAAGTCATTACCTCCACCGCATGGAGCCTGAAACATACGAGGTCGGCTCCTAGGACACATCAAGAACACGTTACGGGGAATTTTTTTTTTTTTTTTCATCTGGACGGCTTCCATGTACATTCCAGAGATGTGACATCACCCAGAATAGTTGGATAATACATGTCTGAGGCCGGGGGCTATCCAGGAGCGCAGTGCAGTCCAGGCAGACCGTCACCGCACATGGCTGCCATAACGCAAGCCTGAAAATCAACCCCTCGCCCTCCAGAGGATTTACCGCCCTTCCTGCCCAGCCCATTTATTGCGATACGGTGCTGTGTTACTTTAACTGACAATTGAGCGGTCATGCAACGCTGCTACCAAATGAAATGTGCGTCCTTTGTTTCCCACAAGTAGCGGTTTCGTTCGGTGGCGTTTGACTGCCTGTGTGTTTTTATTTTTTGCGCTATAAAACAAAAAAAAAGACCGACAATTTTGAGAAAAAAAAAATATTTTTTGCTTTTTGCTATAAAACATATCCAGTAAAAAAAAAAATGTATAAAATCATATTTCATCATAAATTTAGGACAAAAAATCCCAATACGTGTAAATTAATTGGTTTACGTAAAAGTTATAACATCTACAAATGGTGGTATATATATACACTGGGATTTTTTTCTTTTTTGGAGGCGATTATAGCGGGACTGCGGCGGGCATTCTGACACTGGGGGGAACTGACTTGGTGTCACTGACATCCCCAATGGCAGTAATACAGTGATCAGTGCTAATAAAAAGCACTGACACTGTACTAATGACACTGGACAGGAAGGGGTTAACATGTGAGGCAATCAAAGGGTTAACTGTGTGCTGTGTGTGTGTTTTTACTGTGTCAGCACATTGCTTTGTATTCCTTTGCTTTCCATACCTCATACCAGCATCCTGATCACCGCCATACCCCATACCAGAGTCCTGATCACCGCCATATCCCATACCAGCATCCTGATCACCATCATACCCCATACCAGCGTCCTGAATACCACCATACCCCATACCAGCATCTTGATCACCGCCATACCCCATACCAGCATCCTGATCACCGCCATACCCCATACCAGCATCCTGATCACCACCATACCCCATACCAGATATGGTGAATGCAGGGTCAGGGTAGACCAGATATAGTGAATGCAGAGTCTGGGTAGACCGGATATAGTGAATGCAGGGTCCGGGGAGACCAGATATAGTGAATGCAGGGTCCGGGGAGACCAGATATAGTGAATGCAGGGTCCGGGTAGACCAGATATAGTGAATGCAGGGTCCGAGAAGACCAGATATAGTGAACGCAGAGTCCGGGTAGAACAGATATAGTGAATGCGGGGTCCGGGGAGACCAGATATAGTGAATGCAGGGTCCGGGGAGACCAGATATAGTGAATGCGGGGTCCGGGGAGACCAGATATAGTGAATGCAGGGTCCGGGGAGACCAGATATAGTGAATGCAGGGTCCGAGAAGACCAGATATAGTGAATGCAGAGTCTGGGTAGAACAGATATAGTGAATGCAGGGTTCGGGGAGACCAGATATAGTGAATGCAGGGTCCGGGGAGACCAGATATAGTGAATGCAGGGTCCGGGTAGACCAGATATAGTGAATGCAGGGTCCGTGGAGACCAGATATAGTGAATGCAGGGTCCGGGGAGACCGGATATAGTGAATGCATTGTCCGGGTAGACCAGATATAGTGAATGCAGGGTCCGGGAGACCAGATATAGTGAATGCAGGGTCCGGGGAGACCAGATATAGTGAATGCAGGGTCCAGGGAGACCAGATATAGTGAATGCAGGGTCCGGGGAGACCAGATATAGTGAATGCAGGGTCCGAGGAGACCAGATATAGTGAATGCAGGGTCCAGGGAGACCAGATATAGTGAATGCAGGGTCCGGGGAGACCAGATATAGTGAATGCAGGGTCCAGGGAGACCAGATATAGTGAATGCAGGGTCCGGGGAGACCAGATATAGTGAATGCAGGGTCCGGGGAGACCAGATATAGTGAATGCAGGGTCCGAGGAGACCAGATATAGTGAATGCAGGGTCCAGGGAGACCAGATATAGTGAATGCAGGGTCCTGGGTTTAGTAACACTTTAAACCTACATTTTACAGCAAGAAGGAAATAAGAGGATCCATCAAGAAATGTACACTTAGGTGTTGTTTTCATGGTGAGCACTAGATGGCGATGTCACCTTGTTTCACCCTGAAAAATACAGCATGGCTTGAACTCCAATGTGTTCATTTCACACTACAGAGCAACATTCTCTGTGCAAAAGTCACAGCATTCGCACAGCCACCGCGAGTAATTATTTTTACAATTTTTTTTTTCATTTTTATTCATTTTGATCAGTACTTTTAATTGTGTTGAATTTTTTTTTATTGTAAAGTGGCTTAGTGGTTAGCACGTCTGCCGTGCAGTAAATAGGTCATATGTTCAATTTCCAACCATGGTGACTCCTGCATGGAGTTTGCATGTTCTCACTGTGCTTGCGTGGGTTTCCTCCAGGTACTCCGGTTTCCTTCCACACTCCAAAGACATGCTGGTAGGTTAATTGGCTCCTGTCTAAATTGTTCTAGTTTCATCCCTGGCCATGTGGGATCTCCTGCATGGTAGGGGTTGGGGAAAGACCTGCCAACCTACCCTGTAAAATAATTGCTAAGAGAATTCATGGAAAAAAGTTGCTTACGAGTGACTGTCCATGCAATTGCCAAGGGTCGGATACAACTGAATGGACAGATAGATATATTGTAAAGTGCTAAGCAAACTGTTGGCACTATATAAATCCTGAACAATAATAGACATGCTGCTTTGTATTGCTGTGCTGTGCAGAACAATACAAAGCAGCATGTTTGTGCTGACAGAGGAGAGATCTGTGTTGTTTACATATAGACCTCTTCCCTGACAGCTATGCTGACGATCACCAAGTCTCGGCTGAGAATCGAAGGACGGGACCCAGTGATTGACGTGCCGAGGAGCCAATAGCAGCACGGGTAGGGAGAACGCGCGTGCCCCTACCTGTAAATGGAAAATCACACACACACCATATATATATATATATATATATATATATATATATATACACACACACATGATTTTGTGAATCCCTGCTATCCTGTATCAGTACTTCTGCTGTAACAAAGAACAAAAACAGAGCTTTGAGGAAGAAGGGATCACCCTTCGCAACACGTCAGCTTCATCCTGAGTCTCTTCTCTCTATGGGGCCCTCACGTGTCTGCTACCCCAGTGCGCTGATGTTGGATTTTATATGCTTTTAATATTGCTACTTTTGTGAGTATATATCTCAATTCAATAAATTCATCCTTTACTTTACAAGGTTGGTGCGCTTTTGTTTTTGTTTTTCATTACAGCTGTTTTTGGGCTTCCCCAGCCTCGTGTTAGAGCTGCACAAACCATTGATGGGCCAGCGGATGAACTTTCACATGTGGTTCAACCCGCTGAATTCTGATCTGGGTCTCTGAGCGCAGGAGGTTTTGTTTCTGTTTCTGCTGTTTCGGCTATAGGGCAGTCGGGAAGCAGTTAAAATCCATACCAATCTCTGGGTCTGGTATGCCTTTTTGGGGGGGAGGGAGGACTGTATGCATTTTATACAGGTTATAGCAAAAATGACATTTACAAAGAAGATACAGTTTAAATTGCCAGCAAATGACATTTCATTGCCGTCTTCTTAAAAAAAAAAAAAAAAGAATACGGAGCCCTCCATATATTTTGAAGTTTGTTGGAACCAAACCCCAGGCAGTGCAGCTCATGCTTAGTGCAGACCAAACCCAAGCCATGGCCATGATTATAAACCAGGGAATCTGACATTCCCCAGGCATTCACTGCAGGGGAATCTTCCCAGGACATGTGTTTTGAATGACAGCCCAGCAAATGTTTGGTTAAAGTCACACTTGCTACTTTATAAATATGCTCCTAAAAGTTTGGCACCAATCAACGTGGGGCAGCTAACACATTAGCACCAAGGCCCATGGAGGTCTTGTTCGGGTGACCATGTAATCAGCATTCTCCGGGGTGTCACTGCTCTTAGTATTTGTACAGTCAGTGGGGTGCGGGATACATTATGATGTGGCAGGCTGTCAAAACATCTGGAGAGCAGACGTGACATCTGGAGAACAGACTCAGCTGCTGCTGCTGTGCTGTGTATGCAGGTTGCAGGGAGCCTGGTGCAGTGCGGAGCCTCGGCGCTCTGTAGTGAGGACTGTAAGGGGGACCAGATATATCGCAGGTCAGTGTCAGCACTGCAGAATATGGTAAGACGATTTAGCAAGTGCAAAGACTGCAGATGTGCAAAGTCCCCAGTTATCAATTTTCATCAGTTTAAATGAGTCGGCAAGTAGATATAAACCCAATACATAAGACATTTCATAGGAAGCTTTAATATGTTAATGTAATATCAAACGGTATTCTAATTTCATTTGAATTAATAACCTGGGATGTTGCCATGAAAATCCTCATTCAAGGGTTTCATGTTATAACCCATATGGAAGAAAAATATATTTGAAATATATTTTTAAATATATTCTTCCCAAATATATATGACATATATTTGAAATACTACAATTTTGGCCATATTCAATATATTTCAATAAAAAAAAAAAAAATATATATATATATATATATATATCCTCTGGAACTCTCTACCCCAATTTATCAGACTAACGCCCACCCTGCTCACTTTTAGGCAATCTCTGAAAACCTATCTCTTCAGGGAAGCCTATCCTGCCCTCAGCTAATAATGGAATCTTCTACTCTTCCTACCAGTCCACCCCCCACTGTTATTACCATTCTGTACCACTAGCCCCTCCCTCTTAGATTGTAAGCTCCCAGGATCAGGCCCTCCTTTCCCTCTTGTATTGAACTGTATTGATGCTGTATTGTCTCCCGTTATATTGTAAAACGCTGAGAAAACTGTTGGTGCTATATAAATCCTGTATAATAATAATATATATATAAATATATATGAATATACTGTATGTTGAAATGCGTTTTTTAATTTTTACAAATATATATGAAAAATATTTTTAAAAATATATATTTTTTAAATATATTCTTTCAGATTTTTTTTTTAACATATAAAAAAGTCATTTTACCATATATTTTTACATATATTTGTAAATGCATTCCAAAAATGTAGATTTGTATTTTTAAAAACATACAGTATATTTGAAAATGTATTTTTAAAAATATTTTTTCATACATTTTGTAATAAGAATGCATTTCAACATACAGTATATATATATATATATATATATATATATATTTTTTTTTTTTTTAATTGCAATATATTGAATATGGCTAAAATTGTAGCATTTCAAATATATGCCAATATATTCGGGAAAAATATTTTTAAAATATATTTCAAATATATTTTTCTTCCATGTGGGAAGGTGACAACGCTCTGTCCACGTATCACATTTGTTCTCTTGTGTTGTCACCCTGTCACATGGGTTTCTGATGGAGACTTCTATTGGCTGCTTTCACTCCATCCGGCAGCACAGGGTATCAGGCATTCAGCAGCACAGTGGCTTGTTGGTCTGCACTCCAGCCTTGCAGCACTGGGGAGCTTGGTCTGAATTATGACCAACTGGAGGCAGGAACAAGGGGTGGGCAGGAAGGGCAGCTGCCCTGGGCGCTGTGGTATCATGGGAGGTGGGAGTGCACAGTGGAGAGTTCCTACTTACAAGCAGGCAAGAGTAGTGACAGCAGCTTCAGAGTAATAAGTATTTGTGCTTGGGAGGAGAGTATTTGTGCTAAGAGGTGGAGGGAGAAGAGGAGAAGTTGGGCAGCACAGTGGCTAAACGGTTAGCACTTCCACCTGGCAGTACTAGGGTCGTTGGTTTGAAGCCCAACCACTGCAATACCTGCATGGAGTTCGCACATTCTCCCTGTGCCTGAGTGGGTTTCCTCCTGGTGTTTAAGTTTCCTCCCACACGCCAAAGACATGCTGGTAGGTGAATTGGATCCTGTCTAAATTGTCCCTAGTATGTGTATGTATGAATGTGAGTTAGGGACCTTAGATTGTACGCCCCTTGGTGTGCCCCTGAGGACGTGTTGGTACACGAAACACATTGAGTGGAGCCCTATTGCTGATGCCACGCCACCGCTATTGAGGAGCGGTGGCCATCTTGCTTCATGCACTACTGTCCGTCACGGATAAACCATACGTGCCATTCATAGGCACTCTCTGAGTTGGTACTCTCACACAAAGGACATTCCATTATTCAGGAATGATTATATGAACTTTTTTTTAGCACCATTTACCAGTTTACATCATTATTGCACTTATTTGCACTTTTTTGACTTTACATGCGTTTATGATTGTTAACATGCATTTATAGCGCTGCACTATTACTTTAACATATTTCTATTCTGGGACTGTTGCCAATACCCTGAGTGCTAGCTGCTACCTTCATATCTATACCTATATTTATATTTATCTTGTGTAATACCATTTTAGTAGTCTATATAATTTTACCAGCTTTATCGTTATTTTTAAACATCTCAATCAACAGTGGCTTACAATATACTTTAGGAGGCAAAATTGTGGGGGGGATTTGTGCTGTGGCTTATATGCTAGGAGGGGTGATTTGGGAGGATTTGTTTTGGTTCCGGACCAGACAGGCCACACTTCTCGCTCTGAAACAGACACTGTCGGCATCTCTCCCCAGCCACACGTGACTGCATTGCACTGTGAGTTATTTCCCTCGTGGCGCTCGCCCGTCAGAGTGTTGGTAACATTGAAATGCTGCTCAAGTTTATTGCAACTGGACTCCATGTATTTACTGCCCGCACCACCCTGCACCTCCCCAAACACACAAGCAAAAGTATAAATTCTGAGACAGGGTCTAACCTTTCTTGGGTCCATCCAAAAACTTTTGGGCTGGAATTATGCTTTAGTAAATATGTCCCAAGAGGTCAATAAGCTATTTTGGTATTGACAGTTTTATTTTTGGAGGCCCCATCTCTTTGTGTGACTTCACAATTCGGTAAAATAATAATACTACTCTAATTCCACATTCTTGAGCCTTGATGGGTTTGCCACATGCTTTCTGCATAAAGTATTAGACTTGTAGATCCTCCCTGCCATAGGACTTTTCACGCATAGCTTTGGTTTCCATGGCTTCTAAATATTTTCTTGGAGGAATTCCATTTTGTACATATTCAGATTGCTTCATGCAAGTTAAAAATTGTATTTTGCTCCTAGCTGTGCAGGACGTAGCAACTGACAGGTGTATTTAAAGAGCAGCTCCAGGCACATATTAAGGAAAACAGCCATAGATTCCGTTATGTATTTAATCAATCAATACCTGTATTTTTAAATTCAGCTAGTATGAATACCCAAATTTCAGCCTCTTGTATAGCATCCCTCAGGTTGAAAGACGGAGGGGCAGTACTTGGGGCTACAAAATGTATGCAATCCCCTTGATTAAAAAAAAAGGGGACCGGCGGGTTCCACATACAGATTTAGTAGGGGGTAAGCAGATTCTGTATACAGAGGTAGCAGACAGTGAGCAGGTCTTGTATATAGAGGTAGTAGGGGGTGAGCAAGTTCAGCTTATCGAGATAGTAGCGGGTAGTGAGGGGCCGAACACCCTCCCTGTTCGACCGCAAACTTTGAGCCCAGGGGACAATTCACTAAGGGGCATCTTACCGCATCCAAGTATGAAGTACGATACCGCACAGCAAATAAACATTGGCATTCACTAAAAAATACTACTAAAATACCACATTAGTTATTTTTATTAAGTTTTGCGTTATTTTAGTAGTGAAAGCCATGCAGTAATGTGTCAGGGGTTCCCCGCTGACAGCTGAATTAAAAAAAAAGAATTGCCAGCATTTAAAAAAAAAGGAAAAAAAAATAACAGTGTGGGGGTCCCGTCCCCCCATCCATACCAAGCCCTTTTGGTCTGGTATGGGTTTTAAGGGGAACCCCCATGTCAAAAATGTTTATAAAATGGCATGGGGTCCCCC